ACATCTTAAAGTTGCTGTCTGCAATGAACTCTTTCTTTTGGGGAGGATGTGTCCATTTTTTTTTTTTAAAAATCATTCATCTTCATCTTTCATGGACCAGAATGCTGTTTATAAGCTGTAAGTTACTGTATTTCAGTTACTGGCCAGCAAAACTGCTTTGAAAAGCAGTCACACTTAACTTACCAAATATCAATAGAGTCCACTGGTTTTTTTTTTTTTACTCTGTTACCCTACAGTATTATAGAAGAGAAACTGACTAGAAGAAAACATCATCATATAGCAGTACAACTAAAAGTATATGTTTAAGAATTTTGAGCATAAAATTAATATAGCAAGGCTGTGGCTTTCAACCTTTTCTTCACAACAGACCCCCTTTAAATACTTTGGCCATGGACCACCAAAACTTAACTCAAGATTTAAATCATAAATTTTTTTTAAAGCCTTCATGGACCCCATGTGACAACATTGCAGATCTCTAGGGGTCTGCAGACTACAAGCTAAAGCCACTGTAGTAAGGCATTAGGCAATTTGAGTAAGCCAATTTAGAGTAATAGAATTGTAAAATGGAGAACGTCTAAGAAGTATTAGATGAAAAGTTATGGCATACTATGCAAACTATGGAATTGTATTTTGGTTAGTTATTGAAGTAGAAACAGATTGCTCTGATAGTAACAATTTGAGATAGAAGGAATTAGTGTGACCAGGGTATTTGTTGGCAAATGGTTAGCATCAGCATAGAGTACAATATAATATAATATGCTCTGTTATTTCAATTACTGCTCTGTCAGATTGGTACAGTCTCTATTCAAAAGAGGTTCCAGTATCTCCCCTCAATGGCTGCTGTTGGAAGGCCATTGAATCTAATCAAAGAGAAAGGCCTGCTAATTTTAGGCATTGTTATGCAACTGAGGCATCTAGCTGGGTGAAGTAAATGTGTAGAATGGCTCAGAAAGATATGCCAGGGTAAAGCTAATAAAATCTGATTGTAAATCTGGCATATTGTTTAAGATTGCCTTATGAACTTCATAGCCCATAGTTTGATCAAGTTGTTAAGGCACCAGTGTAGAAACAGGGAGATCAATAGTTCCAGTCCTGTCTTTGGCATGAAAGCCATCTGGGTGACTTTTGGCTAGTCACTCTCAGCCCAATCTACCTCATAGAGTTTTTGTTCTGATGAAAATAGGAGTGTTACATATGTTTGCTGCCACTATTATAACAATAATAGTGGCACAGTGGCACAGTGGTTAAATGCAACACTGCAGGCTACTTCAGCTGACTGCACTTCTGCAGTTTGGCTGTTCAAATCTCACCGGCTCAGGGTTGACTCAGCCTTCCATCCTTCCGAGGTGG